TTATTTCAGCTAGACACTCATCATCCTCCATGAAAAAGGTTAAATATTGATATGAGACATCAACCTCAGTGCTACCGCCATACTTCTCATGCTCTTCTTTTGTGCCACGTCCTCCAGAAAAGGCATACTTGTTTATCTTATTCTTTATTTGACTTGGAGTGTCCGTAAGAAAGATAGATGAGGTTGGATCACTGGCAGACATCTTTGATTGAGGCCCTTGAAGTGCAGGGAAGAACGTTGAGTGAAGGAGTGCTGGTTTCGGAAAGCCAAGACGTGGTGCTACATCTCTTGTCATACGAAAGTATGGATCCTATTATGATTAGACATTAGTAAATGCATATCCATAAATTAAATATGATCATAATTCATGACAAGTAATATAAAAACTTGATGATACAGTAGAAAAGGGATTCCCACAAAGTATGCCGAGTGAGCTAAGAAGCATGCCTGGCTTTTAGGGTAACTTTACAAAAATATTCAAATTTTGATTGGGATCAGCTCAAACTTGCTACATGCATCAGAAAAATTATAAAAATAGAGAATTCTCTTCTAATTATTTTTGGCAAAATTTGGCCAAAGACTTTAAAGTACAGGAATTTTTGCCTGATTTTTGAGTGATTTTAAAAAATTAAAAAAAAAATTAGGTTGGAATTAGCTCAAACTTGCTACACAAAATAAGAATATGTATATTTACTAGAAAAATTATTAAAACGGAGAATTTTCTTCTAGTTATTTTTGAGCAACGTAAAAATTCATATAAATCATTTTGATTTGATCAAGCAAAATTATAAAATGGAAAATTTTCTCCTAGCAATTTTTTAATGAAGTGCATATATAGTGAGTTTTTCAAAATTTTAAGTGACAGCCAGTGACAGAATGTTAAACACTATGCCAAAATCCTGTGGAAAACCCCAAGTATAAGATTATTTCTCGGCAAATTTAATACTGTATAGTTATTAATCTGCATACTACTCAAGTGAAACAATAATTTCATCAAGCAAAAATACTTGACAAATTTTACAAAAATTTTAACTGATTAAAATTTGGAGCTACACGTACATGTATACAGTAATTGGCAAATTTGTCTATGGAACAATTTTCTATACTGGCAACTTTGTGTCACATGCCATTGAGCATATTCAGATTGAAGCAAGATTGTATATTGACAATTTCTTCACTGAACTACCAATCACTACCATATAGCTCCAAATTTTCGTCAAATTCATCAGGTATTCTTGCTTGAAAAATTTTTAACTGAAGAAATTTTTGTTCCACATGGGGGTAGTAAGCGAATTAATAACAAAAATTTTATTGACGAAAATTAATTAAACAAGAAATTAAGATTTTGACGAAATTTTTGACTGAAGAAAATTTGGAGCTATACGGTATTATTAATTCATCGCCAATATTATCATCATGTACAGTAATAAACTGATGTATACCTGATCAATGGCACATGGAATGAGACACCTAATGTCTTTATTGTCTCCAAAAATGTCAGGGAATGTACTACTAAAGGATGGTGCTGCCTGCACAGCTGGAAATGCCATTTTACCTAATAAGAAGAAGCATCTGCATTAATACTATGTACAAATTTCATCAAGTAGGTATGTGTCTTGTGCAAGCGTAAGGTAATGATTCCAATGACACATTAGAGGTACATTGTACATGTATATGCATTTAGTGAAACATCCTGCTTTTTAATTTTACATAAGTTTTTTTGTCTTAATAATTTTTGAGTGTAAGCACTATGCACATGAGAGGTCTTGTATAAAGCAGTAAGTGTACCTATGCAGTCTGTATCCTGAAAACCAAATATACCCTTTGCCTGATTGCATGTCACACACTTCTGTATACGTAAAACATTGCGATAAAAAGCAGGACAGCAACTAAAAATGAAACCAAGATAATTACATGAAATAAAATTAAATTTTGTACATATGTGTGGCAAGCATTTATACTGCAGCTGGTTTATTCTGTGGGCTCAAATTTTTGCAATAAATTTTTGTTGGAATAATTTTTGCATTTAAAAAAATTTTTGTTAATATTTGGTTGATGTTGATAAAATTTTAGTGAAGTGGTTTTACACAAAAATCACTAACCTCATGTAATCTAAGTTAGAGAATATAAATGTTTTATTGACATCAAAACCACATGCAATGATATCCTTTGCATTCTCATAAGCAAGACGGTGAGCTTCCTCTAATTGAAGATCCTTCCACATAAACTTTTCATCATCAGTCATTTGTATTACAAGAGGCACATCAAACACATCTTGCAAGTACCTAGAAGAACAAGTTAATACAAAAGTAATCATGATGACAATATAACTGTAACAAGTTATGGTTATGCAAGAAAAAGTGGCTCCAAAATTATTTTCTGATACATATTAATGTCCAGTTTTTTTAGTTATGGCCATTTATGCTCTGTGCTTAATTGGCTCCAAATTATTCTCAATTTTTAAAACAATTTCTGATAATTTTGTGATATAAGATCAATACAAATACTGTATAATGCACAATATCTAAGTATACTTTTAATTTTAGTGTTTAAGGGCTTTTCTAATCATTTTGCTTTCTTTTAACGTAATTAATGACTCCACAAAAGTAACTCCTTAAATTACTGTCATGACATGATGGCATCCATCAATAAAATAATATTACACATAGAATGAAAGGTCACAACAATAAACAATAACTTCATTCAAATGAATTAGAGTGGTATGACACAATTCTGAGTATTATCGCGCACATTTTTCAAAAATGACATAAAATCAGAGCCACCAGTACCTCTTGTTGCTAGACTCCCTTCTTCCTTACTCTCACTGTGGACTAGTTTCGATGGATTGACAATGAATCGTGTCACTAGTACTATATGACTTGTCCTGAATTTTGCCAGTTCATTCACACACTCATTGTAAGATGAGACAAGTTCAGGATTAGTCTTGTTTTTAATGACATATTCACGAAGTGATGGTAAGCTCTCGAACCAGAAAAGAAACTGCCTGTGAGCTCGTGGCATGTGCCATCTTTGCAGGTCAAGGAACTCTTTGTCAGCCCCATTGTGTTCAACTCCTAGTAATATATCAA